GGGTAAAAATCATCTCTGTAAAATCAGTATGGAAAATAACTTTACAGGGTAATCAAATTAAAGAGCTCAGAGGACCTCCCTCTAGCCTCAGGTTCAAAGTATAGCAAACAAAGATAAACACTCTAGTCAAAGTTGAGCAAACAAAGATAAACACTCTAATACATTTACAAGTTGAGAAAACAAACGAAAACTAACACGCCTTGCCTGGCTATTTACTTACAAGTTTGAAATAGGAGAGACTTGTTTAGAAAGATGTGGAGAACCTGGATTGATGTCTGGTCCCTCTCAGTCCCAAGAGCGAACAACTTCCCAAACAAAGAGCACAAACAAAAACCTTCCCCCACCAAGATCTGAAAGTATCTTGTCCCCTTATTGGTCCTTTGGGTCAGATGCCAGCCAGGTTACCTGAGCTTCTTAACCCTTTACAGGGAAAAGGATTTTGGAGTCTCTGGCCAGGAGGGATTTTATAGTACTGTACACAGGACAGCTGTTACACCCTTCCCTTTATAGTTATGACAGGCAGGGAGCTGCCCATAGGCTCTGGGTTCAGGTAAGGACGTGCTGTGATCCGAACCTTTTGAGGCTAGACTCATTTGCCTGACGCCTGTTCGCTTTGTGTGTGTCCATTCTGTAACTTGTCTGTTTAATTTCTTGCATCATGCTATGCTATTTCTATCATTATTTACTTAGGCTATAAGCTGGGGGGGGCGTAGGGGACTGTCTGTTTTGTGGTGTGTACACGAGGGTCTTAGACCCAACGGTTTCCTTGGAACAGCCTCGGTGAAATTACTGGGACATCCGTCTGGCAGTGAAACACTTTTAGAGTGCCAGCCCAGTATATAAACAAGTTTTGGATGACAGGAGATTATTCAGGCAGGAACAGAGGCTGAATAGGCTGGGTGATCTCTCCGGGACATAAAGGAAACCACCACTGACTCCAAAACTGAGTGGCCCGAGGATTAGAGGTAAACAACTGAGAGGAAGACATTTAATGCCTTCTCCCTATGTCCGGGCATAGCTCACTATCCTATTAAGGGAAAGGCTGTGCACGGACAGCGTAAGAGAGTGTAAATTGAGGTTTCTGATCTTGATAAGAACAAGAAGTACACCAAGCTCCGATGCTTTGCCTTTTTAAGTTTTTTATTTTTTCTTAGTCAGCTTTGTGGCTATCGCCCTTTGGGGAGTGGTTCCCCCAGAGGGTGCAGGGCCGGCTGCTGAGGAACCCCAGGAAAGTGGACCCCATAGTGAGTAGGGGATGGAATCCACTCCTTGGAACCCACTATGGGCGGGGCAAGGGACTGGGAAAATCGGAGACCCCCGTTGCGTGAGTGGGGCAAGGTACAGGGCACCCTGGAACCTACTGCGGGTGGGGCAAGGGACTGGGAAAACCGGAGACCCCCATTGCGCACGTAGGGCAAGGTACAGGGAATCTCGGAACAGCCGAAGGGGTCAGCAAGCCTCAACCACCAGCAATAGGTTGAGTGGACGAAGTGAGATCCGCCGCCCGGGGATTGGCAGGACTCCCACCAGCAATAGTCCGTGTGGACTGGTGAGGACTGTCATAGCAAGATCCCGAATTAGGTGTGGTGTGATTGTGGGTCGTAAGGTGGTCCAGGGACCTGCTACGGGCGGGGTAAGGGACCGAGAATAGCGGAGACCCCCGCTTTGTGTGAGTAGTAGGTCCCCATCCTTTTCTACCCGTTAAGTGACGATTGCATCCCTCCTTGCTCGGAGAGTGGGGAGGCCCCGGGAAACCACCCACGTACTCCTAGGTAGTAGAGTACCCATCCCGTTCTCTTGAAGGCAGGCCGGTGCTCTCTGCTGGGGGAGGGGTGTACAGGGACTAAGCCTTTCCTAACCTTCTGTGTGGTTGGCCTACAACCGAAACCCTTCCCCAAATCTTCCTCTGGAGCATGGAGTGAGCTCCAGCCCCTGGAAATTGTTTGCCAAAACCTGGGGCAACCGGGCATCCTACCCCGTTCCTCTCAGAGGCGGATTGGTAACTCATTGCCGGACAGGGTGCATGCGAGGACCTCCCTTTGTAAATCCTCCCCAGTGGCATGCATGTTGGGGGATTGGCCTCACCGGAGTAATAGAGGCTAGGAAAATTGCTCTTGCCTGGAAAGGAGACTAAGGCTTACTGCAGTGTTCTAGTGTTGTTGTGTTGTTTAACCACTCTTTGTGTATAATAGTAATTGCTTTGTTAAATAATGAATCCTCTCCTACAAGGGGGGTTAGCCAAAAAGCCCACCCTCCTTGCTGAATTGATAGTAAAACAATGCCTGTGCCCATGAAAAGAAGGATTGGGCCCAAACGGGCAGGCAACCGCAGTTTAAGGAAGTTAAAGAAAAGAAAGTAAAAAGTTAACTCTGTAATTACTGGTGGGAATTAAGCAGTGAAACTATGTATAAATGTTAAAAGAAAAATTCTTGGTTTCTTTGCAGCCATTCCTTTGGGAGTGTCTGTAAATAATCCAGGCAAAAGGTTATATAGGTAAAATCATTTGACTATGAAAAAGTTAGTTAAATTTGTTAAAAAACACTCCTGGTGTGTATAATTTTTTGTTTTATAAGTTTAAGATAAATTAATGTTGTTTTGGGGTTATAGAACCAAAAAAAATACTTTTGCCAAACAAAGTAAACTAGTGTTGTTTAGTTTTGGTATTTAGCATTTAATCCTTAAGGTGACTTAATGCTTTATAAGATATAAATTGTTTTAAATAAAGACCAAAGTTGTGGCTGCAGCAGGGTAGTCAAAGCCAGAAGAATGGAAAATTTTAAAACTGTTTTGGTAACAAATAGCAAATAAAAGCTAATATCAACTAAAAAGCCACAAATTGTTCTTGAAGTGTTGCTGGGTACACCTTATACCCAGATCACCTTTGGCGCTCCCTGGACGGTTGCGCCTCAGGTGCTCTGGCCCTATTTGCTCGCATGCATCACCGGATGACTGTGCACCGTAGATTGCTGCAGTTAAGTTAAACTTTTCCTCTGTGGCCCAGCACTACTGCCAGCAACATAATGATTAGGCAGGCAGCACTTTTCCCTCTTTGAAAACTTTTTCTAGATATTTGGATTAATTTTATTCAAATGTTTAAATGTTATAATTGTATGTATGTCAATAAACTGGCCTCACGCTTGAGTCTTTGAACTAAAATCACTGCGTGGGTGTCTTTGACCACAACAGACTGTTCCTTTTAATTTCTATTTAACTAACTTTCTCATTTATGTGTAGTTCCCCATTTTGATGTTAAACCCACGACAATAGCATTTCTTTGGCATTCCCCCCCTCCCAAAAATATTAAATTTAATTACTTTATGGTTTCTATTAAGGAGCGGTTCAGCTATATTCACCTCTTGGACCACTAAGGACTAAATCAAGAATTGCCTCTCCCCTGGAGTTCCAGGACAAGCTGATCTTCAAAGCAGACATCTATCCTTTCCTCAGGTGACATGTACTCAGTCAATAGGAGGATAGGTAAAATCCTCCACTATATTGTTTTCTGCCTTTGTAGCCTCTCTAATCTCCCTGAGCATTTCACAATCACCATCACCATCCTAGTAAGGTGGTTGGTAGTAAATTTCCTACTTCTATACTCTGAATGTTCAAGCAAGGAATTTCTATCCAGAGAGATTCTCTGGTACAGTTTGATTCATTTAGTATTTTTACTTTATTTGACAGGGAGTGCTGGCAGGTATGCTTGCCAAGCTGAGCAACCAGGAAAAGGCATTTCAAATATATGTGGGGGCTTTTAAGGGGTGTGTGGCTTCTGATCTCTGTGAACCCTGGGCAGTGGAGTTCACAATTGTGATCAGAATGGTCACTGTCTCAGGGAATGGGGCATTTTGGGACAGCTGCTGATGGACTGTTAGGATCAACAAAGGTTGCACAGTGTCTTCACTGAAACTACATTGACCTCGGTGGGTCGACCATGGCTCCGCACCATATGGGGAGGTGGTTTTACTGCATCACCATAACGGGGCGTTTACATCTTTCAGAGACAATTTTCAGTGTAGAGAGAGGCACAAACAGGTTGATGAAAGGTGACGTATATCAACCTAACTTTGTAGTGAAGACCAGGCCTGAGGAAAAGAGACACCCTAACAGCTGAGAAGTAGATGTTAGATAGCTTTTCATACTGTTCTGGTAGTCACCGATCACTTCACTTTATAGCAGGATTCTTTGATGCCTGTAGAAATCTCCATTATCTAAATTCCGACATGGATGGATTCTTCAGTCAATGTTCAAAAACCACGTACAGGACATAACAGTGCAGAAGAATACGAAACTTCATTTACTTTTCAGTAAACGGGTTGGAGGGGAGAAGGGAACATATACCGAACTCAGTTCAAATTCCATCTCAGCAACTTCAGATTCCAAGGAGACAAGGGCCTGACATCATCCCTACAAGAAAAAGACAGCAATTGATACAGCCTTACCCAACCCTGTGATAAAGTATCATTTTTCCTACACTTACAAATTTTTGTTTTCAAGAGTAATGTGGAGATAAAACAAGGAAATGATTTGCAAAATCAGATCATGTGAAGAAATGCTTTGACATACAGTAGTTACAGTACTTACACAAAAGCTATCAAATAGTCTTTCTTTGCTCTCTGGTAATTTGGTTGTGTAATAAATATAAAACATGTGGAACTACATCCACCAACTACGAGGAAGCTTTATTATAATTTTCATCCCAGCTGTCACTTGCAACTTAAATCTATTCTCTAAAGTTGCTTATCATTTCAAACCCTCTATTGTTTTCTACCTCACTATATATACTCAAGCCTCAGCTATAAATTTAGCATCCAACCACAGAACAGAAAGGTCTTATTTTTAAATCAGTATGTGAAATCTACTGAAACTACAATAAGATAACTAAAGCTATAATTAAATAGATTATTGTACTGGTGACACTATTTAAGGTTAAAATGGCACTTGAATTTTAAGCAATTATGAAGTGGATAAACTTGCCCTACACTACAAAATTAAGCCAATTTAAAGGGATGTACAGTCAGAGCAGTAATTAAAGCAGTGTTTCATGTTCACACTATGCTCCTTCTGTCAGCAGTGCTCGTCCCCACCTTCCACTGACTTACCTGAAACCTGACTTACCTGTGTTAGACATTGTGGGGCACTGACAGTTGGAGCCCCCTGCCAGCTACCAGCTCCCCCACTACCCCAAGCTGTCAGCCCTGCGGGGCTCACAACTGGAGCCCACCCCAGGCCCTGGGACTGACAGCCCAAGTATTATGGGGTCATTGGTAGAAAATACCTTAAAACAGGTCTTGCGTGTTCTGCCTGCACATTAAAGATACACTGAGGCTTCTTGTGAGAACGGGACGGTTCCTGGTGGAGTTTTCCTCTCAGGGCATTGCTGAGGAGCAGTCCATCCCCACCCCAGCTGTGGCTGTATTTTCATGAGGGTTTTAGGGAAACCGACGCAGTGAAAACTCTTGCCCATTACACGTTAAACCTGTTGACAAAGTGCGTGTGGATTACAGGTGTTCTAGGAGGAACAGCTAGCCAATGCAGTTCTTGCAAATAGCCCGTGAGCTCCAACTCAAACACTCTGCTGGCCAAACCACCCTGGCGCCTGAATCACGTCCTGTTGACATATTGACTATACATATTGCCTAGCCGGGCCTCCTGCGGCTGCAGGGCAAAGAAGAACACGCAATTTCCCAGCCGCCCGGACTCGCCCCGTTTCGAGCGAGGCAGGGGAAGGAACAGTGTGTGTGTAACTTTATCTGGGATAGGGCACTCTTCGGACATCCTTGTATCTCTCCCCACCCCTCACTTCAGCAGCTGCAGGAACACAAGGATTAGATTAACCGCCAACACCCAAACCCTGTGGGGAGGGTGGAGGAGCCGTCAAACCCTCCCACTACCTGCCATGGATCTTCCTCGGTGCTACCAGCCCCGTGGGGCCTCGCTTTAAGCTGCAGCAGCTGCGCGCGGGGCAGGCATGGGGAGGTTGCGCGGGACTCTCAGCCCCTGGCTGGGGCTGGCCGCCCTGCTGTGCCTGGCGCACGCCGCCCGGGCCGCCTTCCAGCTCACGCTCCTCCACACCAACGACGTCCACGCGCGGGTGGAACAGACCAGCCGCGACTCCGGCAAGTGTCAGAGCCTCCGCAGCGGCCGCCCCCAGGATTGCTATGGCGGGGTGGCGCGGAGATACACCAAGATCCAGGAGATCCGAGCCACCCACCCCAACGTGCTGCTCCTGGACGCCGGCGACCAGTACCAGGGCACCGTGTGGTTCAGCTACTTCAAGGGGCGGGAAGTGGTCCGCTTCATGAACCTCCTGGGCTACGACGCTATGGTAAGGCGCAGGCGCCTCTCGCCTTGCGGGGGGTCAGGCAAGGGCGGCGGCGGCTCTAGTGCAACTTGAGGCTACGGGAGGAGAGGTGTGTGTGCATAGGTGGTGCGTGATCGGGGCGCTGCCGGGCTGGGGTGCGGCTGGAGCGGCAGCATGAGGGGGCTGGTGCAAGGGAAGGGCGCAGGGTGGTGGTGTAGCTGCAGGGAAATGGGTTCCATGCGTTTTGAAATTGACCCGCTAAGGCTTGCGCCGTCGCAGGGCTTCGCCAGATGCGCAGGTTGGGCAGTGGCTGGTGCTCAGTAAGAACCACAGGGGCCCCTGGGAGACAGGGGCAGAGCTCCCAGCTGAGCCCTGGGGTTGGCCTGGTGAAGCAGTGAAGGATGTTGTGAACCTGCGGCAAAAGGCGAGGTAATATTTGCTTTGAGCTGAAAGCCTGGTCACTGAATGTTGGCGAGACAAGGTAGGGGAGGTAATGCTACTACAGTAGAACCTCAGAGTTAGGAACACTTGGGGAATGGAGGTTGTTGGTAACACTGAAATGTTCCTAACTCTGAACAAAACGCTATGGTGGTTCTTTCAAAAGTTTACAAGTGATCCTTGACTTAAGATAGCTTTGAAACTTTATTATGCAGAAGAAAAATGCTGCTTTTAGGCATCTTAATTTAAATGAAACAAGCACAGCAGCAGTTTCCTGACCTTGTTAAATCTTTTTTTAAACTTTCCCTTTATTTTTTTAGTAGTTTACATTTTACATGACAGTGTACTGTATTTGCATTTTAATTTTGTATTTTAATTTTGTATTTGGTCTGGTCTACACTCGGAGGGCTTGATCTAAATTACGCAACTTCAGCTACGTGAATAACATAGCTGAAGATGACATAGTTAGATCTACTCACTGCAGTGTCTTCACTGCGGTGAGTTGACTGCTGACGCTCCCTGTTAGACTCCGCCTGCCGTCTCACTCCGTTGGAGTACCAGAGTCGACGGGAGAGCGTCTATGCTAGAAATGCCCAGTATGTAATTTCTGAGAGAGCACTTATAGTGATTATTTGGGGGTGTCTAATAATTTTCCTTTTTGTTTTTCATAGGCTTTGGGGAACCATGAGTTTGACAATGGTCTGGATGGATTATTGGATCCGCTACTTAAAAATGTTAATTTTTCAATTCTGAGTGCAAACATTCAGGCAAGCAGATCAGTAGCATCCAGGATTGCTGGATATTTTCAGCCTTATAAAATACTACATGTTGGTTCAGAAAAAATCGGAATTGTTGGCTATACCACTAAGGAAACATCTTTCCTTTCAAATCCAGGTATGCTTTTCTTTAGTATAGCAGGAACAAACCATATACATATAAACAATGTAAATGGAGTAGCACGTGGTCCAAATAGTGACATCCCTTAGGGGAGGATCTATTAATGGAGATTCTCTATGTCAGTGGTTCTCAAATTGGGAGTCGGGACCCCTCAGGGGGCTTGCAAGGTTATTAAATGGGAGGTCGCAAACTGTCAGCCTCCACCCCAAACCCTGCTTTGCCTCCAACATTTATAATGATGTTAAATATATAAAAAAGTGTTTTTAATTTATATGGGGGGTCACACTCAGAGGCTTGCTATGTGAAAGGGGTCACCAGTACAAAAGTTTGAGAACCACTGTTTTATGTCCTATTAAGGAGGAGAGGATGGAAGATGATAAAATACAGGTAGGATCTGATGAGAAACAGTCAAATGAAAAAAGTCTAATTCAATTACATCATGTAATGGGAGACAGCTAAAAAGTGACAAGTTTTTAAAGTGCTTATATACCAATGCTAGAATTCTAAATAATAAAATGGGTGAACTAGAGTGCCTCATATTAAATGAGGATATTGATATAGGCATCACAGAAACTTGGTGGAATGAGGATGCTCAATAATACCAGGGTACAAAATATATTGGAAGGACAGAATAGGTCGTGCTGGTGGGGGAGTGATACTAGATGTGAAAGAAAGCATAGAATCAAATGAAGTAAAAATCTTAAATGAATCGAAGTGTACCATAGAATCTCCTATGGATAGTAATTCCATGCTTGAATAATAAGAATATAGCTTTAGAGATATATTACCGACCACCTGACCAGGATGGTGATAGTGACTGTAAAATGCTCAGGGAGATTAGAGAGGCTATTAAAATAAAATAAAAAAAAAATCAATAAGAATGGGGGATTTCAAGTATCCCCATATCGACTGGGTACACGTCACCTCAGGACAGGATGCAGAGATAAAGTTTCTTGACACCTTAAATGACTGCTTCTTGGAGCAACTAGTCCTAGAACCCACAAGAGGAGAGGCAATTGTTGATTTAGTCCTAAGTGGAGCACAGGATCAGGTCTAAGAGGTGAATATAGCTGTACTGCTTGGTAATAGTGACCATAATATAATTAACTCTAACATACCAGTGGTGGGGAAAACACCACAGCGGGTCAACACTGTAGCATTTAGTTTCAGAAAGGGGAACTACACAAAAATGAGGAGGTTAGTTTAAACAGAAATTGAAAGACAAAGCACCAAACGTAAAATCCCTGCAAGCTGCATGGAAACTTTTTAAAGACACCATAGTAGAGGTTCAACTTAAATGTATACCCCAAATTAAAAAAAACATAGTAAGAGAACCAAAAAAAATCCACAGTGGCTAAACAACAAAGTAAAAGAAGCAGTGAGAGGCAAAAAGGCATCCTTTAAAAAGTGGAAGTTAAATTCTACTGAGGAAAATAGAAAGGAGCGTAAACTCTGGCAAATGAAGTGTAAAAATATAATTAGGAAGGCCAAAAAAAGAATTTGAAGTACAGCTAGCCCAAGACTCAAAAAGTAATAGCATAAAAAATTTTAAGTCCATCGGAAGCAGGAAGCCTGCTAAACAACCAGTGGGTCCACTGGATGATCGAGATGCTAACGGAGCACTCAAGGCCATTGTGGAGAAACTAAATGAATTCTTTGCATCGGTCTTCACGGTTGAGGAGGTGAGGGAGATTTCCAAACCTGAGCCATTCTTTTTAGATGACAAATCTGAGGAACTGTCCCAGATTGGAAGCGTCATTAGAGGAGGTTTTGGAACAAATTGATAAATTAACCAGTAATAAGTCACCAGGAACAGATGGTATTCACTCAAGAGTTTTGAAGGAATTCAAATGTGACGTTGCAGGACTCCTAACTGTAGTCTGTAACCTATCATTTAAATCCCCTTCTGTACCAAATAACTGGAGGATAGCTAATATGATGCCAATTTTTAAAAAGGGCTCCAGAGGTGACCCCGGCAATTAGAGTCCAGTAAGCCTGACTTCAGTACCGGGCAAACTGGTTGAAACTATGGAAAGAACAAAATTGTCAGACACATAGATGAACATAATTTGTTGGGGAGTAGTCAACGTGGTTTTTGTAAAGGGAAATCATGCCTCACCAGTCTACTAGAAATCTTTGAGAGGGTCAACAAGCATGTGGACAAGGGGGATCCAGTGGATGTAGTGTATTTCGATTTTCAGAAAGCCTTTGACAAGGTCCCTTACCAAAGGCTGTTAAGGGATAAGAGGGAAGGTTCTCTCATGGACTAGTAACTGGTTAAAAGGGTAGGAATAAATGGTCAGTTTTCAAAATGGAGAGAGGTAAATAGTGGTGTCCCCCATAGGTCTGTACTGGGCCCAGTCCTATTTAACATATTCATAAATGATCTGGAAAAAGGGGTAAACTGTGAGGTGGCAAAATTTGCAGATGATACAAAACTACTCAAGATAGTTAAGTCACTGTGAAGAACTATAAAAGGATCTCTCAAAACTAAGTAATTGGGCAACAAAATGGCTAATGAAATTCAATGTTGATAAATGCAAAGGAATGCACATTTGAAAACGTAATCCCAACTACACATATAAAATGATGGGGTCTAAATTAGCTGTTCCCACTCAAGAAAGAGATCTTGGAGTCATTGTGGATAGTTCTCTGAAAACATCCACTCAATGTGCGGAGGCAGTCAAAAAATTGAACAGAATGTTGGGAATCATTAAGAAAGGGATCATAATAAGACAGAAAATATCATATTGCCTCTATATAAATCCATGGTATGCCCACATCTTAAATACTGCATGCAGATGTGGTTGTCCCATCTCAAAAAAGGTATATTGGACTTGGAAAAGATTCAGAAAAGGGCAAAAAAAAATATTAGTGGTGTGGAACGGCTGCCGTAGTAGGAGAGATTAATAAGACTGTGACTTTTCAACTTGGAAAAGAGATGACTAAGGGGGGATATGATAGAGGTCTATAAAATCATGATTGGTGTGGAGAAAGTAAATAAGGAAGTGTTATTTACTCCTTCTCATAACACAAGAACTAGGGGCCACCAAATTGAACTAATAGGCAGCAGGTTTAAAACAAACAAAAGGAAGTATTTCTTCAAACAACACACAGTCAGCCTGTGGAACTCCTTGCCAGAGGATGTTGTGAAGGCCAAGACTATAACAGGGTTCTAAAAAGAACTAGATAAATTCATGGAGGATAGGTCCATCAATGGATATTAGCCACGATGGGCAGGGATGGTGTCCCTAGCCTCTGTTTGCCAGAAGCTGGGAATGGGTGACGGGATGGATCACTTGATGATTACCTGTTCTGTTCATTCCCTCTGGGGCACCTGGCATTGGCCACTGTCGGAAGACAGGATGCTGGGCTAGATGGACCTTTGGTCTGACACAGTATGGCCGTTCTTATGTTCTTAAACAGTCAAATGCTAAAATTTTAACTATATATAGTTTCCTAGCATGAATACAGATGAAGGGTTTTAGTTGCCTATAGAACTTTTATATTATTCAGCTCCCTGGCCATCTGACTGTTTTTAACTGCTGGATGTTCGAGCTATATGAAAAGATGTGTTCCATACACAGATCCATTTAGAACATGCGAAGCACTGCACTAAGGCGGTGTTACGTTTACAATAGTGTAAGAAAAAGAAAAAAAAAGCAGGCTTATATATTTTTCTCCTTATTGGCCACATAAGAGAGCCTGAAGACATGAATACATCTTGTAAAATTAAGGAAAATGTGTTTTTACAGAGTTTATTACAATCTGAAAATTTTGAGTTCTGAGGAATGTAATTCGGCCCTCAGATACATGCCCAAATCCCACTGAAGTCAGTGGGAGTTGCATATGTGTATCTGAGGGCAGAATTTGTCCCCCTGTGTTTTTTGGCATCTCAAGTATATACCAGAAATTAGACTACAGAAGGAATCACAATTATTTTCTATCAGTGACTGATAGCAGAAGTGATGAAGCATAGACTCATCCTCTTCAGACAAATAAGTTGTTCTAGTGATCAAGATTTATTTAATTAGTGTAAAGGAATTAGACAAAAATAAACTACTTCTGATTTTAAGAACAGATAATTGTATTTTAGAATAATAAAAACACCATTTCACATTATAGTTTCTCATCTTGCCCTTTTAATCAGATACAGGACATCACTGTAGGTGCAAAAGAGCCACTTCCATGCCTAATAAAAGGACCTGGCATTCCTCTCTGGTTTATCCTAGACACACAATGGAATTAAAGTGCATTGAACATAGCATTTTAAAAAAAAAAATCATCTTCAATACAAGGAAGATATTACTACTTTTCTGACCATTACTTACTGAAATAAAATTATAACTGTAAAAATGAAGGTGTAAATTAGCCCAGAATAGGGAAGGTATGATAATATTTAAACAAAGTATTCAAATGTACAACTGACATAAAAGTCCAATGCAAATGGTTAAACGCATCCACAGAGGAGACCTCTCTGTGGTCAACAGAAACTTTTGATCTGCCTTCTGACATACGAGGCTGGGTTATTTGAGTCCATCCTTTTCCTCTAAGGAATAACAAGGAAAAATGTATTCTTCCTTTTGCCTAAGCAAAATGAGAAGCTTATATGTGCAGAGGGTATGAAGAGAGAGATGAATATACATGCATAAGATGTGTGACAAATAATACAGCACTTAGCCAGAAATTTTCTTTTAACTGATCTGTTCCAAATGTTTACCTATGAGTGTTGTCCCAACCAGGGAGGTTGGCAGTCTCAGCCCCTAGCATTTCTGCTTGCACAATATCCCTGCTTGTATAATATCCATAAAGCAATGTGGGGAAGCACCTGGCTCAGAGCCTATGTATTCCCTGAGCACTGGTTTCTCATCCAGGTAATCCAGAAAGTTGGCTAAATTGGACATGCTATGAATTAAAATAAGTTCTTGAGGAACGGTGTCATAGTTTATCTATTTTGAGAGAGGCACAATACGTACTGTCAATTTAGCCTTTCTGTAGCTGTGAAAGATATTGGAGCAGAATTTCGATGGTGGTGAATTACAACTGCTATTAAGTAAAAGGACATATTTTAATAAATTTGTAGCAAAACCTAGAGATGGTTATAATTGTACTGAAAGACCCAATAAGGAGCCAAAAGAGAAGTAGTAGTACACGGCTACCTTGATATAACACGACCTTATATTACACGAATTCGGATACAACGTGGTAAAGCAGTGCTCCGGGGGGCCGGGGCTGCGCATTCCGGTGGATCAAAGCAAGTTCAACATAACGCGGTTTCACCTATAACACGGTAAGATTTTTTGGCTCCCAAGGACAGCGTTATATCGAGGTAGAGGTGTATTAAGACAGAAGGCTTATTACTTTCTTAGGCAAAACTAAAGCAGTCACAGACTAAGTACATACTGTAGTATAACTGAGGAATCGAAAAGCAGTTGGCATTAATAGGGAGTTTTCTAGGGACCACCATATGTAGCAAACACAATTTTGTAACTCTCTCCTTTTTGACTTGTACACATCTTTAGTGTATGAAGCCTTCAGTAGCTTTCAAAAGGTGATTCAGTTTCTGCATACTGTGATTTATGTCACAAATGACTTAGCAATCTGTGGTGCTGATAAACTCCTGGCTGAAATTGTGGGTTGGTGAGTTAACCATTAACCTAGTTCCTTAATCCAAAAAGTAAGTCGCTGTGAGATTGGATTCCAGGAAGATGACATGTCTAATAGGCACACTTTATTTCAGGAAGTTCAGTTGAGTTTATTCTCAGATTCACCTTAGTTACCCCAAAATCTTGTGCTCTTACAGGACTTTCCAGCTCCTCAGAGACTACTGTTTAGAATAAAGTGTGGATTTTGCACCGCCATTTTTCTCTGCAAGTTTATATAAATTTGTTTTGTATTATCACTAGATGTCTTTCATCGCTACTGCTACTATTGTCACCTTCACAGTCTGTTCACAACTATCACTATATTATAATCATAAATCTTTTGAAACAGTAGGACCTCAATCCCAATGTTCCCATAGCGCTCGCTGTCGCGCTCTCTCTCTCTCTCCCTCAGTAAGGATTGCTAATAGATATCTGGAAACAGTGGGTGAAGTCTACTTTAATAATCCATAGCACAAACGATGAAGCTGTTAATTGGTAGCTTTTTTTTAAAAGATGTCCTATGCGCTACTAAATCCACCTGCCACATTTGAGTCACCCTACTAGGTTTTTTCCTACAACAATTGCCAAGTATTGGTAAATAAGGAAGACAGCATTTATTCATTCATTATATTGTAAGATCTGTAGAATAGGAACCATGTCTTTTTATTTGTACTGTGAGGTGCTTAGCACGCATTTTGTGCTGCAAAATAATAAATCACATTTTTGTACATAACTTTTGACTTCAGTATCTTGATAACTTCTCCTGTCTGTAGAATAGTAGAAATATTCAATGGAGAACACTTGTCAACAAATATCGCTCTGAGCTGTTTTCCAGAACAATACCACAACCATGTTATTGGAATTGTGATCCTGCTCTTTTAATCATATCCTTATGGTAGCAGCCAATTATTTTATCCTTGGACATGTGCCTAATACTTTTGGCACCCAGCCCATTAGCTTGTCGTCTTGTTAAAAAATAGTGCTGTTTAGTTGCCTTTTCTGTTTCTTTCTAAAGTTTAAAGAAATTAGAAAACTTATTTCCTGTTATTTCTTTTTCAGTGTGTTAAACTAATAGAATTGCTGGGCCACAAAGAAAAAGATGAATAACTGTTATATAAAAAACTTAGATTTTTTTTTAAACTAAATTTAAACTTTTGAGAAGGGGTGACCAAGTACTAAGCAATGAGTTGTGTGTTTTGTTTTGAATCCTGGGTTACACTTAGGCAACAACAGAACTGTTACAGTTTGACAATTTACGTATCCCCATAATATTGCTTTGTCAATGTTCCTCTGTTGCAGTAACTCTTTATTTCTTGAAACATTTAGCATTGGACTCTGGACTAGTTCTTACTCTCCCCTTTGCTATGAAATAGCCCGGATCTGTTGATCTCTAGGGTATGCTGAAAGGCTCCTATATTCTCCCAAGATGCATGGGAATGGAGGAGAATTGTGAGGGATGGGAGGTGGAATTTGAGTGGTTTATTTTCTAGTTAGTAATTTTTGGCCGGAGAGTTTAAGGAGAATTTGTTGATCAGTAATTTATAAGAACTGTATTTTAAAACTTTGTCAAGGGAACCTAGCACCTGGGATAGCTGCTTTTTTATCCTTTTTGTAGAAATCAAGAGTGTGACCGAGACACAGCAAATACAGTAGAGAGAGAGTACATGTTTGTATTATAAATGAAATTTTTCTGAAATGATAAAATAGAAACATTTCAGAGAAACCATAAGATTTCTCAAGCTGTGAGCTGGGTAAACTTACCCCTTTTTAATCTCTATCTTTGGGTTCTCCCTTCAGGGAAGTAATTCCACTTCAGGCTTTGCTATTGCTGTGTATCACTGACAGTCAGAAATCGTATGATTCATTTCATTCAATGAGATAATTTGCATATGGAAGGCAAGTAGGATTTGGCTCTGAGCCTGCGGATTTAGTGCAGGAGGACTCTGAGGGAACTGCTGTGGAATAGAAAGGAGACAAACAAAATAAGGCAGGATGAGGGGAGACTTTGTGGGAGAAGAATTAACATGGGAGAAGAAGAAAGATTCTAAGGAAAAATCAGTAGGAAATAATATGGCAAAAAAATGTTATATTTACACCCAAATGATGCATATGAGACAAACCTGAATGTAACTCTCTGTTTCTCAGTTCTAATGGCAGTCAAAAGCTATTGGGGCTTTGCTCTGTTGGCTGTTATCACCAGCATCTTTTCTTGGAATTACAGCTTTGTTTTATATATAAATATATATAGAGAGAGATATACAATTCATAAATGTTGGTAGACTGAGCGCAAATGTTCAGGTTGCTTATACAGTACTTGAAAACACTGGGACAGATTAAAAGTCTGAACCAACTCCCAATAAAGCTAATTAAAAGACTCCCATTTGCTTCATTCTGTAAAGGAATGTGGGACCCTGGGGCAACTAAAATTCAGAGATCATTTACACCTCACAACCTAGAATCCCGTGTTTGATGGCAGAAATGGCCATTTAAATAATGAGAGAGGCCAGAGCTCCCCACAGTTTGTGGGACTCTGGCCATAGTCCATCGGCTGTTTCAGTAATCTGATTTTGTGAAAACACAAGTATTTTTAGACACCCCATAAATATTAATAATCTCCTTTCTCTCTCTCTCTCTCTTCTTTTTTTTTTAAGGCAAGGAGATATATTTTGAAGATGAAATTGCAGCATTGCAGCCACATGTGGATAAACTTATCACACTGGGAGTTAACAAAATTATTGCACTAGGACACTCTGGTTTCACTGTGGATCAAAAGATTGCTCAAAAAGTGAGAGGAGTGGATGTTGTAATTGGAGGACATACGAACACGTTTCTTTATACAGGTATTGCATCTCTCAGTAAAATGTTGCTTTTAACCAAAACTGATCATTAATTGAAAGAGAATTCTCATTGAACTAAGATGACTTTGTAAAAATGTAATTTACTTGTAACTAAGTACTGTGGCCAGTTCCTCAACTGGTGAATATCGGCAATTTCAGTGGAGCTACCTTGATTGAGAGCAACTGAGGATCTGGCACCCTGTATAATTAAAACCAATCAACTTTATTTAGCACATATCACATTGAGACTAACCCACATGAGATGTAGTTCTTTTGCAATCCTTACTGTAAGCAAGACATATGAGACTGAGACTATGACATGAGTCCATTCCCAGTTTTTACACCCTCTGTGAGTAAGAAGTGTCCTAACTCTTTGAACATATTCAGGATGACCCGTGCAACACAGACCCATTCCAATGCAAATGGTAAACAAGCTGCGCAATAATTTAGCAGCATTAATAGTAGTCCCACATGAGATTCTCATTAGATAGGG